AATTAATCTCAAAAATTTACAAGCAGCTCATGCAGCTCAATAACAAAAAAACAAGCAACCCAATCCAAAAATGGGCAGAAGACCTAAATAGACATTTCTCCAAAGAAGATATACAGATTGCCAACAAACACATGAAAGAATGCTCAATATCATTAATCATTAGAGAAATGCAAATCAAAACTACAATGAGATATCTCACACCAGTCAGAATGGCCATCATCAAAAAATCTACAAACAATAAATGCTGGAGAGGGTGTGGAGAAAAGGGAACCCTCTTGCACTGTTGGTGGGAATGTAAACTGATACAGCTACTATGGAGAACAGTATGGAGGTTCCTTAAAAAACTAAAAATAGAAATACCGTATGACCCAGCAATTCCACTAATGGGCATATACCCTGAGAAAACCATAATTCAAAAAGAGGCACATACCAAAATGTTCATTGCAGCTCTATTTACAATAGCCAGGACATGGAAGCGACCTAAGTGTCCATCAACAGATGAATGGATAAAGAAGATGTGGCACATATAGACAATGGAATATTACTCAGCCGTAAAAAGAAATGAAATTGAGGTATTTGTAGTGAGGTGGATGGACGTAGAGTCTGTCATACAGAGTGAAGTAAGTCAGAAAGAGAAAAACAAATACCGTATGCTAACACATATATATGGAATCTAAAAAAAAATAAAAGTGGTCATGAAGAACCTAGGGGCAAGACAGGAATAAAGACACAGACCTACTAGAGAATAGACTTGAGGATACGGGGAGAGGGAAGGGTAAGCTGGGACAAAGTGAGAGAGTGCCATGGACACATGTACACTACCAAACGTAAAATAGCTAGCTAGTGGGAAGCAGCCGCATAGCACAGGGAGATCAGCTCGGTGCTTTGTGACCACCTAGAGGGGTGGGACAGGGAGGGAGATGCAAGAGAGAAGAGATATGGGGACATATGTATATGTATAACTGATTTACTTTGTTATAAAGCAGAAACTGACCCACCATTGTAAAGCAATTATACTCCAATAAAGATGTTAAAAAAAAAAAGATAACTGTAATAAAATCTTAAAAAAAAATAAAATAAAATAAAAGGGCTTTGCTGATACAAATACATCGGCAACATTCTTTTTTTTTTTTTTTTTTCTGTACGCGGGCCTCTCACTGTTGTGACCTCTCCCGTTGCGGAGCACAGGCTTCGGATGCGCAGGCTCAGCGGCCATGGCTCACGGGCCCAACCGCTCCGCGGCATGTGGGATCTTCCCGGACCGGGGCATGAACCCGTGTCCCCTGCATCGGCAGGCGGACTCTCAACCACTGCGCCACCAGGGAAGCCCAACATTCTTGAATTATAGTAATACCTGCCCTGTGCCAGAAATAGATTCCCAACCCTGGAATAGAATAGAGTGAAAGATTACTTTAAAAGGGCTTAGGACAGTCATTTATATTGAATGAAATAACAAATAAAGTGCCAGGAATATGGGGACTTCCCTGGCAGTCCAGTGGTTAAGACTCCGAGCTTCCAATGCAGAGGGCAGGAGTTCGATCCCTGGTTGGGGAACTAAGATCCCACGTGTCACGTGGCATGGCCCAAAATAGAAAATAAATAAATAAAGTGCCAGGCATATATATTCACTAAAAATTAATATCTAACTCTGTTGGCTAAATTTATACACACACACATCCTTAATATAGATATATTTATCTATTTATACACTCATAAGGATAGCTTTATAAAAATAATCAGTGAATAGGACTTAGATTGCACTTCATTAAAAAGCTCATTTAAAAAAAATGTTTTTTAAGTTCCTTTTGAAAGTAGTAAACTTAGAGAAAATGGTAGCAGCACATTTGGGCTAAGCATGATATAATAAAGTTAAGGACACAGGGTTCTGGGAGAATCCATTGTTCCAAGTTCCAAAGGCAACTTCTAGATGTTATGCCAATTTGCTTAAAAAAAAAAAAAAAGAAAGAAAGAAAGAAATCAAAGAGTAACAAGAACCAAAACAAAGCCACAAAGCAATGAGTATCTTTTACAACATAACTGTGTTTTAGCCCTCGCCTGCATACCACAACTCTGCCAAATGTGAAACACAGTCCTGAGAGGGAGTCATTACCTAATTTCCCAACATTTTTTTTTTTTTTGCCAATGGGCAGATAAAGTTACTGCTACCCCAAAATAAATGGAAATGGAAACTGAGATCAGTCCCAAGGGGAATCCAAAATTTATTAACCATATTAGCTAACACATTTAGGAGTGCTTTCACAGATGTTTTTAGAAAAATTTCCAATAAAATTATGCATCAACAGAGTAGAAAGAAGAGGGCTATCTAAATAAAATTAAAAACTGAAATCCAAGTCAGTAGCATCTTCACTTTCCTTCTAATTCAATAGTTTACAGTACTGTAATTTTCCATGAAAAATTAATATCAGGTGCATTTTACAATTCATGATCAACTTATTTTGGAAAGAGTTCTGTTATCTACTAATTAATGGAACCAGTAATGCGTGAACAAAGACACAAAGGGGGATGGATCTAACATCTCTGAAACGGGAGATATTTTGCTTAGAGTTTTACGTATATTACTCTCAGTTACCTTGGGACTATTATAAGCATGTTATACAGAAAAAGTGACTGAGGACAGTAGAAACAAAATTAAAACACAAACTTCTGCCTCCAAAGTCCATTTTTTCCTTTACCTCACTGTCGCCTAGACTACAGTACTATCTCTCTAACCATGAAAACTCTCACACTACCCCCCCCATAAAAAGGAATATATGCAGACCCATATTTTTTTTTTCATTTCTGTTCAATTTTATTTTATTTTAACATCTTTATTAGAGTATAATTGCTTTACAATGGTGTCAGTTTCTGCTTTATAACAAAGTAAATCAGTTATACGTATACATATGTCCCCATCTCTTCCCTCTTGCATCTCCCTCCCACCCTCCCTATCCCACCCCTCTAGGTGGTCACAAAGCACCGATCTCCCCCTGTGCTATGCGGCTGCTTCCCACTAGCTAGCTATTTTACATTTGGTAGTGTATATATGTCCATGCCACTCTCTCACTTTGTTCCAGCTTACCCTTCCCTCTTCCCGTATCCTCAAGTCCATTCTCTAGTAGGTCTGCATCTTTATTCCCGTCTTGCCCTTAGACCCATATTTTTTAAAGGATGTTTTAATTTTACCAGCTAGCAGTAATCAAAGCAATACATTAGAACCCTGAATACCAAATGTACTTATTGCCTTCAGAGATGTGGAAACCTACATTTCATTCAGAAAAGGAAGTGAAGGGAGGGCATTTGTTTTTTTGTGTTTTATAAATTTATTTATTTTTGGCTGCATTGGGTCTTTGTTGCTGCGCGCGGGTTTTCTCTAGTTGCGACGAGCAGGGGCTACTCTTCATTGCAGAGCCTGGGCTTCTCATTGCGGTGGCTTCTCTTTTTGCAGAGCACAGGTTCTAGGCGCATGGGCTTCAGTAGTTGTGGCTCGTGGGCTCAGTAGTTGTGACTCGTAGGCTCTAGAGCACAGGCTCAGTAGTTGTGGTGCACGGGCTTAGTTGCTCCGCGGCATGTGGGATCCTCCCGGGCGGGCCAGGGCTTGAGTCCGTGTCCCCCTCATTGGCAGGTAGCTTCTTAATCACTGCACCACCAGGGAAGCCCCAAAAGCAGGGCATTTGTTACTGGAGAGTGTGAGCAAACTGTTCCAGTTCTTTAGGTAAGGAATTGGAGTATTTTTATAAATCTCTTCAATCATGAAAGCACATGTGGCCAGAACTCAGGAAGGGAGGAAGAGGGAAGAGAACAGACAGTAATGAAAGATGGGGCTGGAAAGGCAGGTCAGGGTCAGACTAAGGAAATCCTTAAATGTCCCCTCTGAAGTCTTCTTTCAAGAACGCATTAATCCCCATTCTGTGCTCCAACAGCACCTTGGAAACGTCTCTAATAGCATTTTTACACTGATTGGAAATTACATTTTCTGCCACATGTACGTGTTCTGCCTCTTGACAAGTATGGAAGTTCCACTAAAGAAAATCGCTTTTACCATCTCTGAATTCGCACAGCCTAGCACAGTGCCTGGATAAAGGGGCTGCTGTTTCAAGGCTTAGGTCTCTGCAGTGTAAAGGCTCTAAAGATTGACGGGAAAGAGGGTGCATAGCTTTAAGGAACGAAATCACAGCTCTCCCTCCACCGCCCCCCCCCCAGAAAAAGATTCTTCAACCTAGGTTTAGAATAGGAATTTGAGGTCCAAAAAAATCAGGAAATATTTATTACCTCCCTAAGAAAACGCAAACAGAGCTTTCGCTCTTCTCTTCCCGGGCGTTTACCACCTCAATTTACTCGGTCTGGCACTGACCGACTCCGGGTGGGCTGCAGTCAAAGTCCTGGTGACCACAACACATTTATTCCCTTAGGAGGGAAAGGGGCAGCTTGTAGAGCAGCGCGAGCCACACCCACGACCGGGAGAAGGAGGGAAGTGCTGGTACCCGGCGAGCAAGGCTCCGCCCTAACCCCCACCGCCGCTAGGGTCCCGGGAAGGGACGGCTCACTGAAGGCTGCTCACTCACAACTCTTCCCCGCGCTCGCCAAAACATCTCCTCTGCTTTCCCGCTCTTGGTATCAGGGCCAAGGGCGGCCGGCAGGCCCTGGCCGGTGACCTCCGTATGCTCCCAGGTAAGTCGCTGAGTCCCAGGGCCCGCCAGCACCTCCGCTCCACACCGTGGGCCCCGTTCAGCCGGCGGACTGGCCTTGAGACAGGACGACGCCCGGAGCCTGCAGGAGGCCGGCTCCTCCGAAAGGCGGGCTCTCGATTTCAGCCCACACAGCCGAACGAACGCCCTGGTAGTAGGCTGCGGCCACTCTGGGATGCCACGTCGCCCCGCCACACCCTTCTCGGTGGCCACCACCTCCCGGGACGGAGATGCTCATGAAGGGAGTCCCTGGGCGGGCCCCGCGCTCGGTTCCCCTCGGATTTCCGCGCTAACCCAGCCCCCCGACCCTCTTACCGAACTGCCGAGAGGTGGAAGGGGCGATGGTGGAGGCGGCAGCTCTGCGCCGGCCGGAGCAGCCGGGTGGCCAAAGTGGATAAGAGGGACATTGCAGCCATGGCCAGCGCCGGGAGGCAAACGCGCGCGGGCCCTGCAGTTATACCGCTGTCGCGTGGCAGGCCCCGCCTCCTGCCGGCACCCATTGGTCCCTGCGGCTCTCCACTTGCAGTCTGTTGGGCCGCTGGAGCTGAAGGAACCGATCGGTTGTCTTCTTTCAAACGTAGAGAAGCCCAGTAAAGCCATGCTGGTGATTGGAGCAAAAAGCGCCAAGAGCGGGGCCCTGGATGGTTCCGAAGGCTCGATAGCTTGCCGAGACTGGCTGAGGAAGACAAGCCCCTGCCAAACGTTGTCACGGAAGCCCGGCCAACGCGTTCATTCACTGCCCAAATATCTGAGTGCCTACTGTGTGCCAGGCGCTTTAAGAGTGGATAAAAAGATAGGCAGATGGAATAGCAACTAATAAATGTAGAAGAATGATGCAGTTAGAAAACGACTAGTTGGCAAAATCATAGTAAAAATTGATTGAGAATCATCAATGGATGTCAAAACAACTGAGCGAAGTTGGATGAGGACCAAGTTATTTGCACATAGTGTTGCCAGATCTTGCAAGAAAAATACAAGATGCCCAGTTAAATTTGGATTGGGAGGAGGGGTCATACTTTACTAAAAAGGTATTCGTCTGTTACCTGAAATTCAAATTAAACTGGGCTACCTGTATTTTATCTGACTGGCCGCCCTATTTGCATAGTCTCAAAGTATCTCTCCCACAGAGTATTTTTTTAATAGCAAAGGGGGGGGACTTCCCTAGTGGCGCAGTGGTTAAAACACTCTGCTCCCAATGCAGGGGGCTGGGGTTTGATCCCTGGTCAGGGAACTAGATCCTACATGCACGCCACAACTAAGAATTCAAATACCACAACAGTGGAGCCGGCGAGCCGCAATTGAGGAGCCCGCCGGGCGCAACCAAATTAAAAAAAAAAAAAAAAGATAGAAAAGGGAGAAAATGGTACATTTACAGTGGAGAAACCTGACAGTCATCACCTTAAACAAGTGATCAAAATTAACACCAGTAATAGGACAAAAACACATTATATGCCCTCAGATATGACGCATTGAGGAAGACACACCACTTCATAAATCTTAGCAAGTCTGAATATTGAATAAAGTGATTTTCCTAAACCATTGAATTCCCTAAAATTGTTACAGATTTCTTATTTACACAGTGAGAGGAGAGATCATAGACCTGGAATGTTAAAACAGTCCAGGAAAAAGGCACATTCCTGAAATTTTGCAATGTACTAGTAGATCTAATCACAAGGAAATATCAGACAAGTCAAGACTAAGAGATGTTCTACAAGAAAAGCAGCCTGTACTCTTCAAAAATGTCAAAGTCATGAAAGACAAAGAATGAGGAACTTTTCTAGATCAAAGGAGCCTGGGCATGACAATTCAATGTAATATGTGATCCCAGACACACACCCCCAATTATTTTCTTTCTTTTTCCTTCATTCTTCTTATTTTTCTGTCTCTTTTTTGCTATAAAGGACATGATAGGACAACTGGCAAAATAATAATAAAGTCTGTAGATCAGTTAATAGCATTGTATCAATTTAAATTTCCTGTAGCTAATCATATTGTGGTTATGTAAGAGAATGTACTTGCTGTTAGAGATAAAGGGACATCATATCTACAACTTACTTTCAAATAAATAAAATATATATATATATATATATATATATATATATATATATATAGGTTTTGTTAGGGCTGCAATAAAATACCACAGACTGGGTGGCTTAAAAAATTATTATATCTATATGAGATGATGGCTGTTTGCTAAACTTATTGTGATGATCATTTCTTGATATATGTAAGTCAAATCATTATGCTGTACACCTTAAAATTATACAGGGCTCTATGTCAATTATATATCAATAAAATTGGTAGAAAAAAAACAAAATTTTCTTGCAGTTCTGGAGGCTGGAAGTACAAGATCAAGGTGTTGGCAGGTTTGCCCTCTCTTGAGGCCTTTCTCCCTGACTGGCAGGTGGCTGCCTTCTCACTGTCCTCACATGGTCTTTCATCTGTGGGAGCACCCCTCTGGCGCCTCTCTCTGTATGTCTTAATCTCCTCTTCTCATAAGGACACCAGTCAGATTTAATTAGAACCCACCGTGACCACCTCATTTTAACTTTATTGCCTTTTTAAAGGCTCTATTTCCAAATACAGTCACATTCTAAGGTACTGAGGGTTAGGGCTTCTACATATGAATTTGGGGGGGGGTGACACAATTCAGTCCATAAAGATGTATATACAAAAAGAGAAGCTAATAAAGCATATAGTGAATATAGCATATTAACCACTGGGGAATTGGGCGAAGAGTACGTAAGCATTCCTTGAACTTTTCCTGCAACCTTTCTGTGTGTCTGAAATTATTTCAAAAAAAATTTTTAAATCAGATTTCTTCCCTCCTGGGGTTTGAGGGAAAGGTAGACATACAGTGATCAAGAGAAGAGACTAAGAAAAAGACTGTGGTGCTGAGAACCCTCCAGACAGTGGGTGTGAAAGGTTGTACAGCTCAGAGCATGCCCTCAGGTTATATGCCTGGATGTGATAACTCACAGAATCTATCCCCAGCAAGCCCTGGTGAGGAGGGCCTTACAGTTACTTGGACTTTGCAGCAGTGGCTTTGAAAGAGGGAAAGGAACCAGACATGCCCAGATTTTAGGATACACAGCCCTCTGCAAAATTTTGGAAATTCTCTTTTCCCAAAAAGAAAACTTGAGAGTGAAAGCATGAGAACATTATTATATATTTTTTACTATGCCTAATGAAAGAACTTCCCTCCATGCTCCCACAGTATTATATTGAAATACCACTTGTTTAACAAAAATACTTTATGCTCTAATTTTTAGCCCAAATTCTGTGGGGTGCTCAGGCCCTTCTAACTCAGGCCCTAAATAGCCTTTCTGCATACTCTTTCCTTGCTCTGGCCTTCACTGAGCACATCCTGTACTTCTACCTGCTGTTTGATTGCCCTCCTCCATCTACTCCCCAGAACCACTGCTACTCATCCCCAAGGCTGCACCCCCAGACTGCCTGACTTGCCCATCTTGCCTGTGGGCCTCCACGTTAAGTGGCCTCACATGTTTCATTGACACATAAGGAAGAATTGGGACCACACACGGGCAAAAGAGCATTTTTGCTCCAACATAACGCCGATAGGCAGAATTAATTGCCCTCTCTTTGGGGCTATCGTAGAATATGAGAATACTCCTATGTCAGTCCTCAGAAGGACATCTTGATATTTGTGCATCTGTCTATCTCTTCAAATACTGAAACCGTGCAACTCAGATTGGGACTTACATGCTGGGTCTTTTTTTTTTTTTTTTGGCCCCATTGTGCAGCATGTCGAATCTTAGTTCCCCGACCAGGGATCAAACCCATGTTCCCTGCATTGGAAGCATGGAGTCTTAACCACTGGACCCCCAAGGAAGTCCCGCATGGTCTTTTAATTGAGATCACACACCTGGTCTCAGGACCTAATGAAGCTCAGGTTCTTGATGTCTCATCGCAGAAAGAATTCAGAGAGAGACAAAGTGATAGGTAAGAAGTGGATTTATTTAGAGAGAAACACACTCCACAGAGTATGGGCCATCTCAGAAGGTGAGAGGCCCCACAATATGGCATGGTTAGTTTTTATGGGCTGGGTAATTTCATAGGCTAATGAGTGGATTATTCCAACTATTTTGGGGAAGGGGCAGGGATTTCCATGAATTGGGTCACCACCCACTTTTGGGCCTTTTATGGTTGGCTTCAGAACTGTCATGGCACCTGTGGATGTGTCATTTAGCATGCTAATATATTACAATGAGCGTATAATGAGGCTCAAGGTCCACTGGAAGTCAAATCTTCTGCCACCTTGGACCTAGTTGATTCTAGCCAGTTTTTGTCATGTCCTATGGTTATGTCATTCATTTAAAGGTTGTGCCCTGCCCCTTTCCCTCCTGTTTCAATATGATGTGAGCTTATTAAGCCAAGACAATTCATATCTCATGATTCATTTCATTCATGCAAGCACAAAGCACATTTATAATCAAACATCTATTAATAATCATTCTAATAATAGCTAAGCTTTATTGAACACTCATAATGTGTCAGGCACTGTTTTATGCCCTTTGCAAATATTATCCTATTTAATTTTCACAGTAAGCCCATGAAGTAAGTGCTATTATTATGTCCATTTACAGATGGGGAAAATGAGGCACAGGAGGTTTAAGGAACATGTCTAAGGTCAGGGTGCTAGTAAGGGGAGGGCAGAGATTGAAGCCAGACAGGCTGGCTCCAGAGTCCATGCTCTGCTATTAAGTACCATTTATTGAGCACTTATTCTGTGCCAGGCACTGGGTTCAGCACCATCTTCTTTAATCCCAACAACCCTGTGAGGTACGTATTATGTTCTGCATTTCAGATGAAAAAACTGAGACTCAGAGAGATGACCACTTGCCTGAAGTCACTCACCAGCAAGATGAGGCCTGTCATGGAAGCCTTCCCTCTAGCCCTCCACTTCACGTGGGCCTGAATATTTAATAGATAGCTAAGGAGGAAACCGGACCACACACAGGTGAAATCACTTAAAACTATAAATGGGTGAGAGAGAACTGTTGGGCAGAGGAGGCCATGGTGGTGGGACCCACAGAATTGGCAGCTAAACTCTAACAGTGTTCCACGTCTAGAAGGAACCACAGAGCTTATGAACACCAACACATTCCACCACCCATCAAACATCCAGTGTAACTGATTTACCTGAAGAAATCAAGGACTCATTATCATCCCAGAGCAATTTCTAAGTAAGGACTATGCTGGGCACCCCTCATGACCTAGAGTTCATAATGGCATCAGGATAGCCACTGAAGTTGTGAAAATATTGAAATGTTTCTGTACAGATGGGTAAAACCTGTTCTCCCAAGCCCTCTGATTGTCTACCACACCCTAGTACCCCTCCCTAGGGAAATTAATATCAACACCCAGACCATGATCCTGCTTTCACACTAGGCTAGTTTGGGCCATGCCTATCCATTTCATACCCCTGACTTTCTCTCATCTTAGAACATACTGTTTTGGGGGCAATGTGCCTTCTATTTCAATACCACCAAAGTAGACAGCACTAAGACAGGACAGCCCAGTCTCCGAAACACCCAACCAGAGAGAATTGTTCCTTTTTTCTTACTATGAAAGCAATTCATGTTCTTTGTTTAAAACACACACATGTATGCATACACACTGGAAAATACAAAAAAGATTAAGAAGCAGAGATAAAATGACACCCACTCCAGCACCAATCAGAAACACCCAGGATTAGGTAAATGGCACTGTGCTTGGAAGTAAGGATATTTTTAAAAAGTTGAATAAGATACAAACTTGTTCTAACTAGGTTTCTAGCTCAGTGAGGTGGAAGACAAACCATGTTCACATCGAGTAGGTAAGTGACAGAGGTATGCCCAGGGGTCTCTGGGAGCTGAGTGGAGGGACCCCTGACTCTTGGCAAAGTCCTGTCCTCGCCTTTATACTGGAATCACTTTATGGCCATAGTGAAAGTGTGGACTCAGGGAAGCAGGCCGAGGAGCATGTTCAGTCTTTCTGACAGGGCCATAAGGCTGACAGAAAACAGGAGAGCTCGTGGCTCACAAGCAGTCCATCCCAGCTCATAAGAAGCTGGGAACTTTGTTCAGAAGCCTGTACAGAAGCCTCCAGTGATTTACAGGGCCACTTTGCATATCTCCTTCGTAAACCATTATAGGGTGAAAGGCAGCAGGTTAAGGATCCAGTGGTTGGAGAATATCAGCCTCAGAATTTTCAGGATTTAGGTTCTTTCTTCAATTCTTCTCATTCTTATATTTGAACCGGGGGTGGCTTCTGTTTCAAGGGTTCTGGATATTGGGGGAGTCCGTGTAGCATCCTGAGGAGATGCAGTTCAGTTTTCTTCTAATTTCAAGGAGAAGGAAGGGGACCTTACTTACTTGACAGGATAGGAAAGGGGGCAGGGAGTCAGACTGCGGAGAAAAGGGAACTAGTTTCATAGACCATTAACCACGTGCCAGGAAATATGCTAGATACTTCCCCTACATTTACTCATATAATCCTAATGTTCCTGTGAGGTCAATATATTATTATATCTATTATAGAAGAAGCAACAAAGTTAAAGTAATTTGCCCATGACCACCAGCTAGTAATGGCAGTGCCAGGATTAAACATAGGTCTGTCTTCATTCAAAACCCATGTTCTTTCACAAAATATGTCTATCACAGTTGTGTGAGGTCAGATTGAAGAGAGGGCATTTGGCAGAATGTAATGGCTGGAATGGAGCAAGTGGAACAAGGAAGGTTGACAAGGTTACAGAACATTTAATGACATGATCCTCCCCAAAGGTTGTACTTTATTAGCCTGCCTGCCTGCCTTCTTCCTTTTCTTCTCTTCTTTTTCCTCCTTTTTCTTCTTTTTGGACTGCCAAAAAGAACTCTTACTAAATTTTTATCATTTACAAAAATTTTGTATGATTTTTTTTTTCCTTGCGGTATGCGGGCCTCTCACTGCCGTGACCTCTCCCGCCGCGGAGCACAGGCTCCGGACGCGCAGGCTCAGCGGCCATGGCTCACCGGCCCAGCCGCTCCGCGGTACGTGGGATCCTCCCGGATCGGGGCACAAACCCGCGTCCCCTGCATCGGCAGGCGGACTCCCAACCACTGCGCCACCAGGGAAACCCTGTATGATTTTTTAAAGAAGAGAGATGATGTTTTACCAAAGCGGTTAAAAATACATGTTTCTAACAGCAGCACCAAAAATTGTTATGGAAAATATTGTTTATCTTCCAAACTTCAGTACTTAGATGCCAATCCATCATGTTCTTCCTTATTATCTCCTTAGGATTAATTACAAATAAATCAAAACTTGTATTTTATCATGAAAAAAAATCTACACACTTTCTCCTTGTCCTCATTTTATTACATTCAAGATTAAAGGTGATGGCAACACCGAGGGAAATGATTAGCTGCAGAGAACAACATAACTAACAGGTAGCACTTACTATGTGCCAGGCACTGTTCTAAATGCTTTACGCTGCATAACTCATTTAATCCTCACCATAACTCTGTAAAGCAGTGTGCTGCTATTACCCCATTTTGCAGATGAGGAAACTGAGGCACAGAGTGGTTAGTAACTTCCCGAAGATCACACAGCTAGTAAATGGCAAATTTAATTTTCAAATCCATTTCCTTTTTTTTTTTTTAATATAAATTTATTTATTTATTTTTGGCTGCTTTGGGTCTTTGCTGCTGCGCGCAGGCTTTCTCTAGTTGTGGCCAGCAGGGGCTACTCTTCGTTGCAGTGCGTGGGCTTCTCATTGCGGTGGCTCCTCTTGTTGCGGAGCACGGGATCTAGGAGTGCGGGCCTCAGTAGTTGTGGCATATGGGCTCAGTAGTTGTGGCTCGCGGGCTCTACAGCACAGGCTCAGTAGTTGTGGCACATGGGCTTAGTTGCTCCGCGGCATGAGGGATCTTCCCGGACCGGGGCTCGAACCCATGTCCCCTGCATTGGCAGGTGGATTCTTAACCACTGCGCCACCAGGGAAGTCCCTTTCTTTTTTAAGACACGAGAGAAATAGCTTTTGAACTCTAGAAGAGAAAAGATGTCAACAACACAAACTTTGGTTTCTGAGACTAATAATAGCCAACATATATTAGCACTGTTCTGAGTATTTTACATGTATTATCCAATCCTCTTATCAGTCTTATTATTGTCCCTATTTTACAGATGAGAAAACTGAGGTACAAAGAGGATAAATAAGTGCACAGGTGCACAGCTAGTAAGTACACAGCTAGTAAGTGGCAGGGTGCACAGCTAGTACGTGGCAGGGTTAAGATAGCAAAGGAAAATGGCAAAAAATATGAGAAAAGGCATTAAAAACTTTAGAGTCTTTGGGCTCTCTTTGTGACTGAAGGCAGTCTGAGCCAAATTCTTGTCACCATTTCTTACTCAAGAGTATGCTTTCAAGGGGATTATATGAAATGTGAAAATTTTGAAAACTGTGAAGCACTATAGAATTTAAAGAATCTTTCAATTAAAAACAGTTGAAGCAAAAAAAAAAGAGTACACTTTCAGAGAAGGCTACTCCTCGGTGAGTACCACAGGACATGCCTGGGTGACAAAGGTTTTCATCAGTACATCTGGTTCCTGCCTGACTCTCCTCCCCCACAATGATGGCACTCATAAAGCTTCTCTCCTAAATCACCGCAGTGGAACGTGAAGATGAGAACACAGTCAGAAGATTTCCCCAAGGTCACCACTTTTATAAACTTTCCCTTCAGTCCTCTTCCTGGAACTTTCAAGATCATTCCATAGAGTTGACCCCCACTCTTACCCTTCAACACTCTTCTCTTACTTTTATAACATCCCCTCCTAGTTTCCCTCCTACTTCTCTGGCTGCTCCTTCTCAACCTCCTTTGCCAGTTTCTTCTTTCTATGTGGTCTTTAAATATCAGGGCTCCTCGAGGTTCTGCCCTGGCATCTCTTACTCTCTACTCTCCCCCTGGCTATTTTAGCCACTGCCATGGCTGTAAAGATCTATATGTTGGTACCTGCCAAGATGATCTTCATCCTGGTCTCTTCTTTGAGCTCCAGACCTGTATATACCTGCATCGTAGATATTTCAATGTTAATACATTCAAAACAGAACTCCTGATCTACCCCCAAAGCTGCTTTTCCTCCCATCTTCTCTATCTTAGTAATTGGGAACAACCAGCTAGTTGTTTGTGCCAGAAACACAGAACTTAGCCTTGACTCACAGTCAGCTCATCACTGAATTATTTCTCCAGAGTAGACCTCAGTTCTGTCTACTTCTCCCCATTGATCTAGTCTAGGGCAACTCCATCTTCTGCCCAGACAACAACAAGAGCCTCTTAACTGCTTCCACATTTTAAAGTGTAGATGGCATCACTCTTCTCCTGAAAACCTTTCAATGGCTGGCCAACCGGCTTCAACTAAGATCTAAGTTTTTGGTGGCTGGTTTCAGCTCCCTCCACTTTCCCTTCGCCTACCACATTCTCCTTACACTGGCCTCTTCCGGTGCTTTTTTTTAAAAAAATTAATTTTTATTGGAGTATAGTTGCTTTATGATGTTGTGTTAGTTTCTACCGTACAGTAAAATGAATCAGCTATACGTATAAATGTATCCTTTTTTGGATTTCCTTCCCCTTTAGATCACCACAGAGCACTGAGTAGAGTTCCCTGTGCTATACAGTAGGTTCTCATTAGTTATCTAATTTATACATAGTATCAATAGTGTATATATGCCAATACTAATCTCCCAATTCTTCCCATCACCCCTGCCGCCCCCCACCCCGGTATCTATACATTTGTTCTCTACATTTGTGTCTCTATTTCTGCTTTGCAAATAAGATCATCTATACCATTTTTCTAGATTCCACATATATGTGTTAATATACGATATTTGTTTTTCTCTTTCTGACTTACTTCACTCTGTATGACAGACTCTAGGTCCATCCATGTCTCTACAAGTGACCCAGTTTTGTTCCTTTTTATGGCTGAGTAATATTCCATTGTATATATGTACCACATTTTCTTTATCCATTCCTCTGTTGATGAACATTTAGGTTGCTTCCATGTCCTGGCTATTGTAAATAGTGCTTCAATGAACATTGGGGTGCATATGTCTTTTGGAATTATGGTTTTCTCAGGGTATATGCCCAGTAGTTGGATTGCTGGGTCATATGGTAGTTCTATTCTTTTGGTGCATTGATCATAGCAAACTCTTACCTGCTTCAAAGCCTTTGCACATGCTGTTGACTCTGAACAAACCCTCTTCCCTCTCTCTTCATTCAGCTACCTCACCTTCTCGGGTCTTGGCTTAAATCACATCTCCTGAGACTCCCCAGCCTCTCTTAGGTCTCTCCTGTTATGCTGTCTTAATGCTCTTAATGCATTTTGTGCTTTTCTTCCTAGTAGTAATTATGTAATTATTTGTTAATATCTATCTTCTCCAACTGAATGTGAGCTCCAGGAGTGCAAGGACCATGAACTGCATTCACCAGTGTATGTGACTGATAGAGGTCTGACCTTAGACTGAAGACATTTTCAAAGTGGAAACTTTCACATGGCTTCTTCACTGAGTGAGTTTTCTGTGTTCAACAAATTGGGATTTCTCTTTCATGACCTGTGACCTGAGTCATGAGATAACGAGCAGGGACAGTTTAGCAACTTTACTGTCTGTCTTTTTTCATCCACTTGTGACAGGGGCTAAAACACAGGCTGCCAAGAGCACTGACTAGCTGGGAGGGACAGGAACCTTGCTGTGACCAAAGTGAGAAGAGGTGGGGCTTGAGCGGGTTTGTTCAAATGATGAGACAGGACACTTATACAGAATGAAAATGCAAGGTTGCAAATTCTGCCCGAGGGAGCTGAAAAGGGGAACTGCGTGATGAATGCCGGTGGGGCAGGGGGTGGGAGAGGTTCAGAAAAGGCAGTATTGGCTGCGGTACAATTTGCTGCTTAGCTTCTGCTTTCAGCATCTGCTGTGACCAGATGGTGTGCAGTGATCTCTCTGGCCAACTGAGCCAAGGAAAGAGTAAAACCTCCCCAGTATTTGTAGACTATAGGCTGTGTCTGACGGGAGCAAATTGCCCTGTAGCAATTAGCAATTTCTCTCACTCTTTTCCTATGTTTTACTCTATCTTTCTCTCTCTCAGAAATCTTATTTTTTTTTTTTACATTTTATTACTTTTAAAATTGAAGTATTATTGCCTTGCAATATTACATTAGTTTCAGGTCGATATTTTTATACACAAATGATCATCATAAATCTAGTTACTAAGTGTCACCATACAAAGTTATTACAATATTATTGACTATATTCCCTATGCTCTACATTATATCTCCATGACTAAATAAGTCATTTTAACTGGAAGTCGGTACCTCTTAATCTTCCTCATCTACTTCACTCATCTCCCCCGCCACCCCCACCATGACAACCACCAGTTTGTTCTCTGTATCTATGAGTCTGTTTCTGTTTTGTTATATTTGTTCATTCAGAAATCTTATCTTTGATCTCTAAGTGATCTATATTGATATCCTGGTCAAATATTTCCAAATCCCTAAGGCTCCCCCTCCTCCCCTCTGCTCTCAAATGTAGCTATCTGGAAAGGTTTTCTTATAAATGGCTGGCCTTTCATATCCTCGGTGATTCTCCAACTTAAGGAACAATCCCATTAAAAGGGAGGAAAATTTTCACAAACTCACTTCTCATGCTGTCTGGAAATATTTTTAATGACAATTACATTATTTAAATAATATAAATTATTATAAAAGTATAAATTTCTAAATGTCCTTATGTTTATAGCTTTTAAAAAGCTATGAAATTACAGTTATAAATTAAACACCAACAAAACCAGTAAAGTTAATAAAATCCAAATAACATCAGTACTTAATGTGACAGGGAATATTTGGATGAAATAAAATCACCTGCAACATGAATGTGGTAGTGACAGGTACAGGGTAAATTCTTTTGCACTGGGCATCCTGCACCACCATTTGCTGAGCTATTCTTGATTCTCTCCCAATTTTGCTTTTTCTTGCTTTCTTCATTCCACAGCGTGTCATGTGGCTGTCAGTTGGTACTGATGCATTGTTTTCACATTGCTTGCTTCTGTTAATGTTTTATTAGATCATGACAACTGGCACTTTGATACCAAAAAGAGCAAGCAAAAATGAAGGTATGTTATGAGAGGATCATGCAGATGATCTAGAACTGTGTTGTCCAACATGGCAGCCATTAGCCATATGTGGCTACTGAGCACTTGAAATGTGGCTCGTCCAAACTGAGCTGTGTGTAGATGTAAATACATTCATATCGTGTTTTGCAAGAAAAAGTAAAATATCTTATTAAAAATGTTTAAATTGATTCCATGTTAAAATCACATTATTTTGGATACATCAGGCTAAATAAAATATATTATCGATTAATTCCACTCGGTATTTTTATTTTTGCTTTAAATATCTATCTATCTATCTATATCTATCTATCTATCTATATATATATTAGAAAATTTAAAATTACTTATGTGGCTCAAACTCTGTTTCTATTAGACTGCACCTTTCTAGAATAATTGTGTGTGTGCGTGTGTGTGTGTGTGTGTGTGAAAGAGAGAATGTGTACAACAAACTGAAAATACCATATAAAAACTCTCATAGGGACTTCCCTGGTGGTGCAGTGGTTAAGAATCTGCCTGCCAATGCTGGGGACATGGGTTCGAGCCCTGGTCTGGGAAGATCCCACATGCTGTGGAGCAACTAAGCCCGTGTGCCACAACTACTAAGCCCACGTGCCACAACTGCTGCAGCCCCCATGCCTAGAGCCTGTGCTCTGCAACAAAGAGAAGCCACTGCAATGAGAAGCCCACACACCGCAACAAAGAGTAGCTAGCCCCTGTTCGCTGCAACTAGAGAAAGCCCGCGCACAGGAACGAAGACTCAGTGCAGCCAAAAAATAAACAAATTAATTAATTAATTAAAATTCTCATAGAAAACACGTGGGTAATGAAGAGGTTTCCAGTTTAAACCACTGCTCTATCATTTAATGGCTGCATTCTTTCTCAGAAGCCAAGGTTACAGAACCGGCATAGGACTTTCCTTGTGGCTCTCACTCTAGTAGCCTCGTGATATAATATCTCTGTTGTTTTCACATATGGCTTCCTTATTAAAATATTTTGGGGAAGGATCCAGGCACTTCCATCCCTTCCAGAAAATACATACTGCCTTACCTGGTCATTTTACTGCCATTTGATCAAAGATTGTTCCCCATTGAGGAAATATGAGGTAGGTTAAAAACAACAACAACAAAAAGTGAGAATGTACTCCCTGGGCAAGCAGATGCAACTACTTCCTAAGCTACACAAAAACTGCTGAAATTCAGGGACTGCATCTGTTTTAAAAAATTGGTCTAAAATAATACATAGCCCGGAATTCCCTGGCAGTCCAGTGGTTAAGAATCTGTGCTTTCACTGCCAAGGGCTCAGGTTCAATCCCTGGTCGGGGAACTAAGACCCCACAAGCCACGCAGTGCCACCAAAAAATGAATAAATAAATAAAATAATACTTAGCCAAATATTCAGTTGCATTACTTAGCAAATATTTGCTACATTTCTATTTGCTGAATATCTCATACAAGGCTCCACAATAGGCACAGTTAAAATACAAAGATAAGTAAGTCAGGGATTTGCTTTCAAGAGGCTGGTCATCCAACCAAGGTAATAAAACATGTCAAAATTTCTTCCTTTTTAAATAGCAAATGTTGATTGAGTAAATATATGTTCTAGAACTGTCTAAGGGAGTTCTATACCTTATTTAATCCTCACAACCCTAAGAGATTGCCCGCATTTTACAAATGAGAAAACTGAGGCAAAAAGTTATGAAAATACTCAACGTTATATGGTTATTAAGTAGCACTGGCAGGGTCCAAATACAAATAGTCACCTCCAAAATACGAGCTTTTTAGTCACTATTCTATCTTGCTTCTCTTTTCAAAAAGAAAGAAAGAAATTAATATTAGTATTTGCTTTTAGAGAAAAATTGGAATTATACAGAAAAATAGAAAAGAACATAAACTCTCAAAGTCCTACCACCTAACAAAACAGCTGTTAAATATGCAGATACTACTCTTTAACTTCAACTATAATTATATTACAAGAAAGATATATCGATACAGGGCTACAAGAGTTCAGAGGTAGGAAAGAGGATTTCCTGCTGGATCTTGAAGGACAAGGTAAGATGTGGATGTTGAGGCATTCCAGGCAAAAAGAACTGCAAGCACAGGAGCATGGACTCAAAGAGGCCCAGGACTTATTGGAGAAACAGCAAGAAGTTGTTTGGCTGGAAAACCACCTTAAGCAATGAAGCTAGAAAACTAGAAAACTAAAGGCCAAGTCATAAAAAGCCTAGAATTCCTCTACCTTTCATCTTATCAGTACTGGTAATACCGCAATAATTACTGTTTATTCCTGTGTCAATCTCCTCTGTTAGTCTGGGAATTCCAGTCTATATCACCCTTCATTCATTGAGCATTTATTGTGTGCTAGGCACTGTGCTGAGCACTGGCGATGACAAATAAACAAGTTATGTTTTGCCCCCAAAGGAATTCACAGTCTAGTGGGGAAGAAAACGTTAAGATAGTTCTGATGGAAAGATGAACAGTGTGGGTTTCCGTCACTTGCATCCAAACAAGCCTGGCTAAAGTAAACTATTATCAACATATCTGGCCATGGTTTCCCCTTCTCTGTGCCCTACTTGTACCCTATAGAAGCCAGATCACAGGGAGGGACAAAGAGGTTCTTGAAAAATAAAATCAGTGATCAAATCAGGAGTCTAGTGGGATGGGCCAGATAGAACTAAATGGCAAGTAAGATAATGATTGAAAAATGCCTGTGGGATTTGGAAACTGACACTGGAGAGCCTGGTGAGAGAATTTTCTGTGGGAGGGCAGGCACCCTGCAGAATGTGGACTGACTGGTGTTGAGGAACAAAAGAAATGGTAATGTTGTGGAGATAGTGGATGAAGACTGTTATTGGACCAGGACCTTTTTTCAGATGGTCTTTTGGGGGCCTGAGGTAACTTAAAGGAAGATAAAAATGTATTTGTTTCAAAGGCCAATAAGCACATGAAAAGATTCTCAACATCAGCCAACAGGGAAATGCAAATCAGAATCAAGAGATACCAGTTCACACCCACTAGGATGGCTATAATCAGAAAAATACATAATAGCAAATGCTATCAAGGATGTGGAAATATCAGAACCCTCAGACGTTGGCCAGTGGGAATGTAAAATGGTGCAGCCAATTAGGAAAACAATCTGTCAATTACCCCAAAGTTTAAACATATAGTTACCATATGACCCAGCCACTCCTAGGCATATACCCAAAAGAAAAGAACACATTTATCCACACAAAAACCAGTACAGGAATGTTCGTAGCAACAGTATTCATAATAGCCAAAAGTGGAAACAACCCAAATGTCCATCAACAGATGAATGGATAAACAAAACATGGTATATTCATACAATGGAGTAGTGTTCGTCCATAAAAAAGAAGGAAGTACTGATACATGCTACAACATGGATGAATCTGAAAAACATAAGAAGCCAGACACAAAACACTACATATTGTGTGGTTCCACTTAACATGAAATATCCAGATTAGGCAAATTCATATAAAAAGAAGGTACACTAGTTGTTGCTAGGTGTTGGGAGGAGGGAGGCATGGGGACTGCTAATGGGTACCGGTTTCTTTTTGGGGTGATGGAAAAAAATGTTCTAGAATCAGATAATGGTTATTGTTGCACAACTCGGCACACACACACACACACACAAACACAGGAGCGTACTTTTTAAAAGGGTGAATTTTATGCTATGTGAGTTAGAGCTCAACTTAAAAATCAAATTAAAATTAAAAAAAATTTGTGGGTAATTCCCTTGTCGGCCAGTGGTTAAGACTCGGCCTTTTCACTGCCGTGGGCCTGGATTCCATCCTTGGTTGGGGAACTAAGACTCCGCAAGTAGCACAGCACGGCGGAAAAAAAAAACTTAAAAAAAATTTTGCCCTCACAGAGGCCCCTTGCAACCTAGTGAGATGGAACACGCAAGACATTAACAACAATTTCAACCAACCACAGGCTCAGCCGCTCTTCCAGTCCGAAGACCGCAATTCCACCACGCCTCCGGCAGCGGAAGTCCCGGCCTAGAGGCTGCTGATTGGCTGAGGCGGAGGAGCGGGCGGTGCGAAAAGCGGCCTCTCCAGACCCTCTCAGCGGGGAGGAGCAGAACGAAGCCTTAGCTCGCGAGATTTTGCTGGTTCCGCATTTTGGGTCTGTAAGGTGGGGGAGGGGGGAGAGGCGGGTGCAGTTGCTCTCACCTGCTTGCCCCAGCTCGATCCCGGCCCGGAGCAGCGGCGGCGCGGGCTTCCGCTGTCCGCTGGCTGAGGACCTTCAGCTCCCCCTTGGTCCCGCGCGAGCTCCGAATCCTGTCCGCGGCAGGGGCCAGCGGCCCCTCCCCTCCCCTCTGAGGATAGAAGATGAGCTTCCTCTTGTGAGTGTGGCCCGGACGAGGGCTCCAGGATTGAGGGCCGAGGCCCGGGAGGGGCGGACGGACGCCTGAGGCGAGGGCGGGTCCCCGGGGCCGGGGTCGGGTGCCCGGCGCTTGCTTTGCCCACGCTCTGGGTCACGGGGGAGGCTTGGATGTGGGCAGAAGCAGAGGGAGATGAAGGTCGAGGCAAAGGAAGCGGAGCGAGAAGGTTGGGGAGTAGAAAGGCCCTGAGGCCGGTAGTGCCTCCAGACTTTTCCGCCCGAGGGCACCTGAGGGCAGAGGGACGATCTGGGGGGTCTCAATTTGTCTTGAGTCTCGAGCCTTTTAGTAACGATGCATGCTGACTTAGCTTTTTACTCCACTGTACGTCCAGCTTTATTATCGTCAGTATTAAATTACCCCCGCGGAAAAATGCCGCCCCAGGAAAATGTGGGAGTGCCGCTGAAGTTAAGCTGCGGGCCTTGCATCCAATTCTGATTCAGCCCACTTTGTGAATTTGTATAGTTAACTAACTTCTTTTTAACTCAATAGAATCCTATTTTAGAGATAACGTCTGGGCCCAAAGGAGCCTTCAATGGGAAAGTTTGTAAATTCTCTGATGATTCTTAATCGCATTAAGGTTTGAGAAGCATTGCTCTAGCACCTTATTTTTCTCAGGTGGCTCTCTTTACCTAGCATGTTGCGTAAATATGTATTGTATGAGCGAATAAATAATCCATTTTCAGTTATGGGCATCACCCACATACTTGACATCTAAAATAGTGTTTCATAACCAGAGTTTACCCCGTTTCTTATTGTGAGAAGTTTGGATTCTTTCTAGTATTTTGCTATTATAAAATAGGACTACTGAGACTATCTTTGTCTAAATCGCTTTTCCCCTCCTTTGGATTATTTTGTTAAGCGTATGGTCTTCAGAGTATGATTACCATTTAAAAAAATCTTTATGATTTATATTTTAATTGCAAATTTCCATATTACTAGAAACCACCACTACCCTCCCCCCACCCCCCAGTCTTTTTTTCTGTTTTGTGGATGCACAGTTCTTATTTGCTTTTTGGACCTAAATGTGAGGCTCTTTATTTCTTTTAAACTTTGTTTTGTTGATGGACATTTGAGTTTCCACTTTTGGTTATTATGAATAATACTGCTATAAACTTGGATGTACGTGTGTGTTCCTTTCTCTTGGGAATTGCCTGGTTATATGGTAACTATGTTTAACCTTTTGAGGAACTGCCAGACTTTTTCAAAGCACTGCACCATTTTGCCTTCCCATCAGCGCTGTATGAGTTTCAATTTCCCCACACCCTCCCTAGCACTTGTTAATTGCATTTTTGATTATAGCCATCCTAAGTGGACGTGAAATGGTATCTCATTGTGATTTTAATTGGCATTTCCTTAATGACTAATGATGTTGAGCATCTTTTCCCGTGCTTATTGGCCATTTGTGTATCTTCTTTGGAGTAATGTCTATTCAGATCCTTTGACCATTTTTTAAATGGGGTTGTCTTTTTGGTTTTAAGTTGTAAAAATTCTTTATCCTGGATACAAGTCCCTTATCACATCTATGATTTGCAATATTTTCTCCTACTTTGTGGATTCTTTTCACTGTCTTGATGGTGCCATTTGAAGCACAAAAGTCTTAATTTAGATGAAGATCTTACTGAACCTTGAGACATCATTTCTTGCTAAGTACGGAGAATATTTAGCTACCTGTCATTCACAGCTTGTTTCTATTGAAAGGGCCATTCCCTCTAATTTAGTACTTCCTTATTAAATTTAGCTCTTTATCAAGTTAAACACAAACTTTCCATATTTGATTTTTATTGTTTTCATAACTCCTTTTTACTTCATAATCAGTCTTATTTAAAATTCAAATTACCCAGGTAAAGTGAAAGTCCTCAGTTTTATTCCCTTCCCCTTCCTAGAAGTAATCACCACGATCAGTTTGATGGGTGACACTTTCTATGCATTTACAAAATGGGCTTTTGCTGTACATTTCATTCTGTAATATGTTTAAGCATGTATTGAGATCTATCGGTGTGAATTCAAGTACCTCTATCTTGTTATTCTTAACTACTGTATGGTATTCCATGATATAGATGTATCATAGTTATTCATTCCTCTACCAGTAAGCTTTAGGATCATTTCCAGGTTTTTCGCTATTAAAAATAATCTTGGGAAACACATCCTTATCCATATCGAGGAGAGACACCTAGAAGTAGAAGGGATGGATTGAGAAGCATTTCAGTGTTAATAGATATTGCCGTGTTGCCCTCTTAAAATGTTAATGCACTTTGACCATTAGCAAATTAAAGTACTAATTTCTCTCTACCCTATCCCACACTTAATGTAATTGTTCTGATTTCTGACAGGTTAAGGAAAAATAAATCTAATTTTAATTGAACAGCTTTTCATATGTTCATTTGTCATTCTGTTTTTCTTTCTGAATTGTGTATTCATCTCCTTAGCCCATTTTTCTAAAGCATTCTTTGCCTTTTTCTTAACAGATTATAAAAGCCCTTTATAATTTAGTTAATATTTTTAATATATGTTGCAAGTACTTTTTTTGGCTACTTGTCTCCTTGTTCTGAATTATTGAAGTTTTAATTGTTACCGTTAGAAAGCTGTCCATTTTTTTCTGGGCTTTGTGTCATGTTAGGAAGACCTTCCTTATGAATGGTGTGAGATAGGAATAAAAACTTGTTCCCCCCCCCCCCCAAAACCAGTTGTCTCATTTATTTTCCGTGCTCTAAACTCTAAAATGTTAGTACTACTTCTCTGGTTTGCTTTGATGGCATCACAAATATTTTGATACAGAAAACTGGATTTTTGAGCTATACGAACCTTAAAGCTAACACCCTCACAGCACTATTAGGTGAAAATTGAGGCCAAAGGAGGTTAGGTTTCTCAGGCAGTCACAGAGTTAGTGGCAGATCAAGAACTAGAATCCAGGTTTTTTCTTCTTTTGGTTAAGGTGCCCTTTCTGTTACACCAGACTGCTTCATGAGGCATAGTAAAATTGCCTTCTGTGTGAAATTGTGCTGCTAATCCTGTTTCTATGTAGGGGAAAAAATTTAACTCTTTCTTTTATTGTGTTTATTCTCTCCTCCCCTACCCCCCATCTTGGCACTTTTCAGGGAATATTTTTTAATTTCAAAACAATTTATATGCCTAAAATTGTCATTCTGCTTCCGGTCCTAAAAATTGATGTACTTTTACTTTTAACCTAACAGTAGTAGCCGCTCTTCTAAAACATTCAAACCAAAGAAGAATATCCCTGAAGGATCTCATCAGTATGAACTCTTAAAACATGCAGAAGCAACTCTAGGAAGTGGGAATCTGAGACAAGCTGTTATGTTGCCAGAGGGAGAGGACCTCAATGAATGGATTGCGGTTAACAGTAAGTTCTTAATAACTTTCAACTTTACTGGTTTATAAGAAGATTTTGCTAAAATCTTTTTGTTAATGAACTTTCTTATGGATGTAGCTGTCTTAGTAAAACAGATTATCTGTAAAGAAACATGTAAGTGCAAATACATCCAAAGTGTGTTCTCTTCAGAGTGTACCTGATTGTAGCTTGTGTGGTTAAATAGAGAGAGACCTGAGGAGAAATGAAAAGTACTCTGGGGTTATCTCTGAGGAGAGTGGTCTGAATTGCTGAGTAAGGTCAAATGAAAGATTGATAAATACAAAGATTCTACCTGTGGTGGACATGACTTTGTAGGAATCCATCTTCATAGTTGTGCCCCCACTCCCAGCAGCTTTCATCTGCCTGTGTATACAGAAAAGTCAAGTGCAGTTGTTATGGTCAGTCACTTGATTATTGTGAGTTAGGAGTAGTCAGAAGAAAATTGAGAGATTGGGAGAAAACAGAGGGACCCATGAGCTGAAAGTCACTCTGAATTCAAGAAGTAAGGGCATGACATGGAAGGATATGCTGAGGCTAGAGGTTTGAATATTAGTGTCTATCATTTCTGAGATGAGATCAGTTCTGGATGATAGGGTTTAAGTCTATTAGGAATTTTAGTTGTTCCAGGAATCTTTAAAAATTTTTTTTTTTTTTTTGCCGTACGCAGGCCTCTCACTGTTGTGGCCTCTCCCGTTGCGGAGCACAGGCTCCGGATGCGCAGGCCCAGCGGCCATGGCTCACGGGCCCAGCCGCTCCGCGGCATGTGGGATCTTCCCGGACCGGGACACGAACCCGTGTCCCCTACATCGGCAGGTGGACTCTCAACCACTGCGCCACCAGGGAAGCCCTGTACATATGTTTCTTGAATCTCTTAATTCACAGGTTGCCCTTCATTGCAGTTATTTTTCCTTGCTCTTTTTGTTGTTGTTGAAGAAACCAGTTTCTTTTCTACAGAATGAATTTTGCTGATAACATCCCCAAGGCGTCCATTATCTTGTTCTTTTATTTCCTGTAAATGTTAAATCTAGAGCAGCACTGTCCAAGAGAACTTTCTGTGATTAGGCGAATGTTGTATATCTTCACTGTGGCCATTTAGCACTTGAAATGTGGCTACTGTGACTGGAAATGAATTTTAAATTTAACTTCATTTTAACGTAAGTTGCCCTGTGTGTCTAGTGGCTACCATGTTAGAACAGATGTGGAGCTTTGATCAGATTCAGGTTTGATTTTGTTTAACACTACTTCATAGGTGGTGGTATATACTTCCAACAGTGTAGATATTTCCATAGTGTCTAGTTGTCTTTTTATGTGGTATTCAACTGTTGATAATCATTGCCTTGGTCAGTGTGGTCCAATAGAAATAAATATATTGTGAGCTACAAATGGAATTTAAAATTTTCTAGTAGCCACATTAAGAAAAATTTTATTTTTCTCAACTCATTAAAAAGCCATTATTCATATTACTAAGAGAAAAAAAATCAGATGTAGAACTATGTAATGTGTTTTCTTTTGTGTTAGATGGGATAAAGAAACTTAGGGGGCACGACACAGAAAAAATTAGTATAGTAGTTACCTGTGTGTAGGGTGGAAGTTGGAGTGGTTGGAACTTAGATTTTTCACTGTATATTTTTATCTATCTTTTGGCATGTGACATGTGACATATTATCTATTCAGAAAAGACCCCTTTTTTGTAACCTTATTCAAATTATCATCTTTCATTCATTTTTTTGATTTCTCTTAAATTGAAGTACAGTTGATTTATAGTGTTGTGTTAATTACTGCTATACAGCAAAGTGATTCAGTTATACATATACATACATCTTTTTTTATGTTCTTTTTCATTATGGTTTACCATAGGATATTGAATATAGTTCTCTGTGCTATACAGTAGCACCTTGTTGTTTATCCATTCTATGTATAAAAGCTTACATCTGCTAACTGCAGCCTCCCACTCCATCCCTCCCCCAACCCCTTCCCCCTTGGCAACCACCAGTCTGTTCTCTATGTCCATGATTCTGTTTCTGATTCATAAATAGGTTCATTTGTGTCATATTTTATTTTATTTTTAAATTTTTATTATTTTTTAAATTTATTGATTTTAATTATTTATTTTTGGCTGCATTGGGTATTCGGTTGCTGTGTGTGGGCTTTCTCTAGTTGCAGTGAGCGGGGGCTGCTCTACATGCGCTGTGAGGGCTTCTCATCCTGGTGGCTTCTCTTGTTGCAAAGCACAGGCTCTAGGCGTGGGGGCTTCATTAGTTGTGGCATGTGGGCTCAGTAGTTGTGGCTCGCGGGCTCTAGAGCACAGGTTCAGTAGCTGTGGCTCACGGGCTTAGTTGCTCCTCGGCACATGGAATCTTCCTGGACCAGGGATCGAACCCATGTTCGCTGCACTGGGCAGGTGGATTCTTAACCATTGCACCACCAGGAAAGCCCCTGTGTCATATTTTAGATTCTACATATAAGTGATGTCATATGGTATTCGTCTTTCTCTTTCTGACTTACTTCACTTAGTATTATAATCTCTAGGTCCATCCATATTGCTTCAAATGGCATTATTTTGTTCTCTTTTTTTTTGGCTGCACTGTGAGGCATGTGGGATCTCAGTTCCCTGACCAGGGATTGAACCCATGCCCCCTGCATTGAGAGTGTGGAGTCTCAACCACTGGACCGCCAGGGAAGTCCCATATTTCGTTCTTTTTTTATGGCTGAGTAATATTCCATTGTATATATGTACCACATCTTTATCCATTCATCTGTTGATGGACATTTAAGATGGTTTGATGTCTTGGCTATTGTGAATAGTGCTGCTATGAACATAGAGGTGCATGTATGTTTTTGAATTTAGTTTTGTCCAGATATATGCCCAGGAGTGGGATTGCTGGATCATGTGGTAACTCTATTTTTAGTTTTCTGAGGAACCTCCATACTGTTTTCCACAGTGCCTGCACCAATTTATTGATACATTCCCACCAACGGTGTAGGAGGGTTCCCTTTTCTCCACATCCTCTCCAGCATTTGTTATTTGTCGACTTTTTAATGATGGCCATTCTGACTGGTGTGAGGTGGTACCTCATTGTAGTTTTGATATGCATTTCTCTAATAATTAGCAATGTTGAGCATCTTTTCATGTGTCTGTTGGCCATCTGTATATCATCTTTTATTCTGAAGGCATCTGTTGACCTTCAGCTTTCAATTTTTCTTTGAGACTTAATGCTCTAATCAACTGTTCTCAAACCTTTTGGTTCCAGGATCCCTTTATTCTCTTAAAAATTACTGAGAACCTTAAAGGGCTTTTAATTATGTGGGTTATATTTAGTGATACTGTGTTAGAAATTAAAACTGAGCAAGTTTAAATACTTATTTTAAAATACATGTTAACATAAATATATTTTTATGAAAAATGACTATTTTCCAAAATAAATTTTAGTGAGAAGTGTGGCGTTGTTTTACAGGTTTGCAAATCTTATTTAATGTCTGACTTAATAGGAAGTTGGCTGGATTCTCATATCTGCTTCTGCATTCAGTCTGTTGTGATGTCATACATTATGGAGCCTCTGGACAACTCCACTGTGCCTCCTGAGAGAGAGTGAAAATTCAGAGCAATTAAAATGTTTCTGACCTCACAGATTCCCCTCTGAAACAGGGGATCTCTGGACCGTATTTTGAGAACAGATCAATAAACCAGCACACCATCTGGGCACACTCTTTGTTTTGAATGAATTGAATGCCTAAGTATTACTTTCTTAGAAACATGACTAATTTAAGAGGAAGGTTTATAAGTGAGGGAGTTTTGTATAAAATTCCTTTTGACATGGTGGAATATTGATTTGTTTTCTAAGAAACTTGGAAAAGCCCTAGTTGATTTTTTAGGTAGTCTTTTAAATGGGGAACTAAGACATTTTTAAAAAAGCTTGCCAAGGCTTATGTGGTTCTCTTTGCACAGAGTAATATGTTTCACTCAGTTAAGTTCATTTCTTACCCCCTTCCTCTTCTGTTTTCTTCCAGATCTAGCTGAAGCTCCTTTAGGAGTACTCCTTGACTATCTCAGCTCCTCGAGATGTTGCCTTTTCTCTGAACTCTTCTAGCACTTATTGTTGGCCTTTGTATGCTATCTTCTTATATGTTGTATTACTCCTCTCTTTTAATTTTGTCCCTTTTGTTAGCTGGAGACTCTAGGGGAAGGGGCATTATCTCCTGTCTTTTTTATGTTCTCAATATGCACTAGGTCTCAATTTTTTATGATGAACTAGATTTTTTAAATGCCCGACACAGCTGATACACCTCCCTCCCAGTATATTCCGCAACGATTTTTTTCTCTTTCCCAACACAAATGATATTGTCTGGTCCAGATTGGTAAGAAGCTATGGATTTTTTCATTTGCTTGTATATGATCAAATTGTATATTCTAATGTAATAATCACCATTACGTTAGAATTATCCCTAATATTTTATTTTCCTGCTTACAGGCTGTTTAAAAGCTTAGTATATTAAAAGTTAATGTATATTAAAAGTTAACTTTACTTAGGTGTAACAACTTAGAGAATTTATGTGCCCCTGGATTGTTGAATCTCCTGAGGATTCTTGGCTGAATCCTCCGACTGAGAGGTCTGATGTTTTGTTGTGTTTACACAGACATTTTAACACAGTTTTGCTATTATCTTTCCAGCTGTGGATTTCTTCAACCAGATCAACATGTTATATGGAACTATCACAGAATTCTGCACTGAAGCAAGCTGTCCAGTCATGTCTGCAGGTCCAAGGTACATATACTGACTATTATATAGGTATTTGAATTATTACCAAATAAAGCTAATCACCAATTGATATAAATTAAATAATAAAGACTTGTTTTTCTTACCCATTTGCTTGTGAAAACAAAAAGTTTACCTATAAGCTTTTAGTTATTAAATAGTTTGGTATGTGGTACCCAGTATTTTGATTTTTTATAATTGCATTATATTAAGTATGAATATTCAGTAGTAGGATTGACAGTAAAGAAATTTGAGTTAGGATTATCTTGCTTTTACAAAAGTTATTTTTTTCAATTTTATTAATATTTATGGTTCTGTTTCTGGATTTTAAATTAATTTCTTGGAAGAGTTTTTAGTTGACCCTTTAATATTTGATTTTTTTGTTGTTGTGCTTTTTACTGTTAGTTACCTCCAAACTGTGCTGCTTTAGTTATCTGGCTTAAAAATGCTAGATTAAAATTTTTTTGACTATCATAAATTTCTAGAAATGTTGAAAAAGAGATGGAACTCTTTATCACCCATAAAGTTAAGATGTGATGGAATTAACATTTTAGTGTGTCCTTCCGGCCTTTTTTCCTATAACAAATGATTGATTTTATGTGATGACAGATGGTAGCAAGATATTTACCTCTTGGGAAAAAATAGTCCTTTCTGAATTTGCTATAGATGTAAAGGAAAAAAAGGGCCCCAATGAGTTTGAGTCCTATTTTTATTATGTTATTTTAGGAGAGATGTTTTTTATTTTGTGAAGTGTTAAGTTTTATTCCTCAAACTATCTTTGGCTTAAATGCTTCACACAGTGAAGTTTTGATTAAGTCTTATTAATCATTCTAGCCCAGCAAAGGTGAGGTAGAAAAAGACGCATGCGTAAGATTGTTTCTTTAAAACCTTCTCCAAGAAACAGGGTTTTATAATCTTGGCTCTGTTGATGATTACTTAATGGCCAACAAGCTCAGAATGTGGTGGATCCATCAGCACCTTACCCAGTCCTCAGCACCCTCTGTCTAACAGACAGGAATGCAGTTCCTTTGTCTTTCTCAGGGCTGTGTTGTAGAACAGATTCTGGCACAGCCAGCTGCCACACTGGCTTCCTTTTCTTTTCCATTTATTACCATCACATTTCAGAATACAGTGTAACTATGGTCGGCCCTCCGTATCTATGGTTCCTCTGCATCTACAGATTCAACCAACCGTGGATCTTGTAGTATTTACTATTGAAAAATATCTGTTTGTAAGTGGACCTTGTGTGGTTCAAACCCACATTGTTCAAGGGTCAACTGTACTTCTACAGGAAACTCTCAAGTAATCTTCAGTAGAACTTTAGGTAATTTACTAAATATATATACTATACTATACTATAGTACTATATATATAACTTCTGTTGACAAACTGTGAACCTACTTTGATTACAAGTTGCAACATGTTTTTGAAAACTTTATCACTAAAACTTTTTTCTCTCCAGATATGAATATCATTGGGCAGATGGTACTAATATTAAAAAGCCAATCAAATGTTCTGCACCAAAATACATTGACTATTTGATGACTTGGGTTCAGGATCAACTTGATGATGAAACTCTTTTTCCTTCTAAAATTGGTGAGTTAATGTTGTAGAACTAATTTTCTTTTTAAAAGATAAATGTGTTATTGTCTTTTTAATGCTCTATTACTATAAAAAAATGTAATAAAGACTGCCAAATTCCTCTCCAAAAAGTTTGTGAATGTGTACTCCTTCCAGCCATGTTTGTGTCTGCCTGTGTTTCTTCATCAGTACTAGTTGTTACTCAGTTTTTCATCTTTTCTAATAAGGGTAAATAAATTTCTAGTATAATGTGCATTCTAAAAAATATCAATAACATTGAGCATTTTTTGGTTTATTGATCCTTGTGTGTTTTCTGTTTATATCCTTTTTCTGTTTCTTTATGTTAAGGTTATTAGCTCTTTGTCATGCATGTTGTGTGTATTTTTTCCCTGGGTTGCCGTATTGTCTTGTTTATGAGGTTTTTTTTCTATGTATAATGTTCTTATTTTGACCTATTAATCTTTCCCTTTATGATGTCTGGATTTTAATACAATGATTAGAAGGGATTTTCCTACTTACAGATTATAAAATATTTGTCCATGCTTTTATTTAGTACTTTTGTGGTTTTGTTTTTACATTTTATTTTAATCTTTGTTCTGTCAGGAATTTTTTCTCAATGCTCCCTTTACTTTTTTCCAACTATAAATGCTAGTTTGTCCAGTACCATTTATCGAATACATGTGTCTTTTATCCCCTCATTATCATATGTGTACACCAAATTGACATATACCTTGGAGTCTTTTAATCTCTTTATCTATTGTTTTAGAAATTCCACACTGTTTTAATTACCATGGCTATGTATCTTTGAACATCTTGTAGGGCTAGTCTCTCTTCCTTGCTCTTCTTTTTCAGAATACTTACAGCTATTCTGGAAAATTTGTTCTTCCAAAGAATTTAGAAACATTTTGCAAGGCAAAAAAAAAACACTGAGATTTTTTATTATGATTTCATTCAATTTGTAGATTAATGTAGGGATTCTCGTTCTCTTGACAATACTGAGTCTTCCTATCCAAGAACAATTCATATTCATTTATTCATGTCTTTTAATTATTTATTTCCTCGTGTAAGATTCTGTATTTTACTTTATGCTAGTCCTTCAGGTTTCTTAAGTTTATTCCTAGGCACTTAATGTTTTTATTGATAATCTGGTTTCTAACTGGTTATTGTTTAGTATATAGGAAAACTATTCTGATTGTTTCTTTTGGATTGGTTTTCTTGAGTTTTTAAAGTATATAGTTACATCATACTAAGATAATATTAATTTCACCTCTTCTTTTCTGATAAATATACTACTTGTGTAACTCTTATCTAATTGCAATAACTAGTACTTCCAGAGCAGTACTGATTAATGGTGATGATGGCAAACATCCTTTTCTTGTTTACTTTTATGTGAGTGCTTCTAGTATTTCAGCATTAAGTAGGAATCTTGCTTTTGGTTAGAGGTATGTGAATTTTTAAAAATCAAGTTGGTTATAGGGTTTTATCAGATACTCTTCTAGTATCTGTTGTTGATCATAAGGTTTTCTCCATTTTTTTTAATGTTCTGCTGCAAGAGTATTTTTTTTATTTCTGCTATTTAAGATTTTGGCATTGGTATTCATGGATGTGATTGGTCCTTGTCACTTTCAGTATAAGGATATCTTATGAACAACATATTGTTGGATTCTGTCTTGTCTGTTCGGGCTGTTATAACAAAAAATACTGGAGACTGGAGGGCTTATAAGCAATAGAGATGTATTTCTCACAGTTCTGAAGTCTGCAAGTCCAAGATCAGGAGCCATCATGGTCAGGTTCTGTCATAGGTCCTCTTCCTGGTTTACAGATAGCAAAAAGCAGTGTTTTTGTTGTATCTGCACATGGCAGAGAGGGAAATCATCTTTGTCGAGTTTTTTCTTATAAGGGCACTAATCCTATTCATGAGGGCAGATGCCCTATGACCTAATCACCCCCAAAGGCCCCACCTCTTAGTACCATCATCTAGGGGGTTAGAATTTCAACATGATTTTGAGGGAGACACAAACATTCAGAACATAGCAGATTCCTTTTTGAAGTCTAATCAGAGGCTCTTTCAGGAGAAAAATTTATATCATGTTGTGTTTGGTCTGTTTGTTTTTGGTCAACTTTTCCGTTCTATAAAACCTTTTGTTTCCTTTCTCATAGATCCTTTATTGTGTATTGGGTGTGCCTGAATGTTAAATTCAGCTTGGAAAGTGCTGCTTAGATTAAAACAAATCACTTGTATTTCTTTATTAAAGTCTCCTTCTTATGGAGGTAAAGAATACTTTTGTCATTATTCTCTTTCCTTGGCTTCCCAATTCTTCAGTATTTTACCCTAATGTTCTGGAATTCTTTCCCCCTTCATTAGGCTATTATCCAGAGCTTACTTATGCTAATTATTTATTCTTATTAGACAAAACTGTCTATTATTCATTTTTAAACAAATATATCCAACTTATTAATGTTTTTTTTCTTTGGTTTTTTTTAATTCTTTTTTAAAAATTCTTAATGTTCTTTTTAATAGCATGGGGCTCATTTGCGAATTCTGAGAGAAAAAGGATTTGACTTAAATCCATCTTTTCAGTACATGAATATAAGACCAAGTCCAGAAAAAACATGTCCATAAGCCCCAGAATAATGTGTGAAAAGGCAAGTTGTTACCAAGACTAAGGGTGGGGGGTGGGACACACACACACACACACACACACACACACACACAAATCAGCTAACAAGAGCAAACTCTACTAAATTTCAAGCTATTAAGGACTGGTTGAGAAATAAAGAATACAAAATGCAGGGAAGGAGAAAGTGACAGCCTTTGTTTTCTGAAGGAAGGAGAAAGTGACAGCCTTTGTTTTCTGAAAGATTAGAGAAAAGAATATGTTCAAGAGTAGTGTAGTGGAACAGACCTTTAAGGCCAACTAATCTAGGTTATTTTGGAAGCAGATGCCTTCTTATGTATTTGTTAGCTATACACAGTGCCAGTTGTATTGTCTTTCTCCTGTCCCTGTTTTCTAAGAAACATTGGTCTTGTCAACCAAAATTCTCAGGAATGCAATCAGTCACATCCCCACCTGCAGTGCTTGGAGAGAGATGACTAAGTCCTCTCCCAGTTCTTTTCTAAGGAAAAATAGGGAGGTGCCATTCCTCCCCTTTACAGAAAGTATTATTCCCCTTCTTAGACTATAGGAAAATGAAAATAGCACTTTAAAAAATTAAATAAAAAGTTGGGGACTCCTAGTTTAAGAAGGAAAACTGGTTTTTCAGAGTACTTCAGAAGAGGAAATACTTTTTTTTTTTTTGCGGTACGCGGGCCTCTCACTGTCGTGGCCTCTCCCGTTGCGGAGCACAGGCTCCAGACGCACAGGCTCTGCGGCCATGGCTCATGGGCCCAGCCGCTCCGCGGCATGTGGGATCTTCCTGGACCGGGGCACGAACCCGTGTCCCCTGCGTCGGCAGGCGGACTCTAAACCACTGCGCCACCAGGGAAGCCCCGAGGAAATACTTTTTATTTGTAGACAGTAGATAATAATGACTCAAAGTGTGCCTTTCTTTTTTTTTTGCTCGGGAGAGTTTCCAGTCCTGGTTGAGTGTGTATGGGTTTGTGTAAAAAAATTTTTTTAGAGTTAAAAATTGCAAAAAGTAAAAATTTTCTATTTATAGTCAAAAATACTTATTCTCCAGGAGTTCCCTTGTGGTCCAGTGGTTAAGACTCCATGCTTCCAGTGCAGGGGGCGTGGGTTCAGTCCCTGGTTGGGGAACTAAGATCCCAACATGCCACGACGTGCAGCCAAAAAAAAAAAAAACTTGTTGCATTTAATTTTAGGAAGAAACTCTCCTGTATTAAACAACTAAAATTGTTTTTGATTCCTCATCATCTTGCATAACTTGATACCTGTGTCTACTATTCTAAGGCAGTCAGGAAAAGTGTGGTATGTGAGGATACCTCATATACTTAGGTTTGGGGGGGTTCCCTTGCCTTTTAAAAAAAAAATGGAAATAGGCTTGTATTTGTGAATTTGTGTATTGGAGTTGCTCATTTCAGCATCTAAACTTTTCTGCTATTTTTCTTGAATTGATAAAAGACTGATTGATACATACCTATATTACAGGTGTCCCATTTCCTAAAAACTTTATGTCTGTGGCAAAGACCATTCTAAAACGTCTGTTCAGGGTTTATGCCCATATTTATCACCAGCACTTTGATTCTGTGATGCAGCTGCAGGAGGAGGCCCACCTCAACACCTCCTTTAAGCACTTTATTTTCTTTGTTCAGGTAAGTTGAACTGCGTTGACTTTTGTGTCCTTTGACCTGGACATATCCGGATTGGTAGTTTATATAGAGTAATTTTTAGAGTCTTATTTATAGATGTAGAGCTAAGCATGCAGGGTTCTCGTGTTTTGTTCCCTTTTCCATGTTTATTTCTTTGATGTGCATAGCAGCATAGAAACCATTACCCCCATTTTGGACCTTTTGCCTCTGGAGAGACCTGCCCCAGGTCTCTGGTTAAGATATGACAAGAAGCACCAAACACTCAAGAAAGCTTGTCCATACCCTCCTGTTCCATCGCCACTGCTGGGTAAAGGGATGCCACGGGAAAACATCTATGGTTGGGTTGTTTCATGAGATGTCTATGCCTAAAAGAGAAACTTTTGGAAGAACTCATTAGCTACTATCTTGGGTTAAGTTTCCAGAAGTCCACTTCAGGCCAAATCTTACAAAGCCAGCAGCTAGAAACTTCAAAAAGAACCACTCTCTTCAGAGGTGTGGCCTATTTCCTTATGGGCCCTTAGTTGGAATTAGAACTTTTTAAAGTCAAAATAATTCACACTGTTTGAAAAAGATATCAAAGAATAGGGACTCGTTAGCCTAACTTTCGAGATATATAATTCTATATGTAAAATATAAATATGTCCCTCTAGATATTTTGGAGGGAAAGCAGGTAGTTTTATAGTAGATATTGTATGTCACAATTCTCTATGTACCACACAAAGGAGAATGTACTGTGCTCTCTTCTTTGTTTTCCGTCTGAGATTATTGCATGGCATAGATAGAGTGTATATATATAGATATACGAAAGTAAAAGGTCTGCTGCCCCAGATGAGGCCACTATCAATGATTCAGTGTATAGTTTTCAGATAATTTCTGTGTAAATGCAAACATTATACGATTTTGATTTTACACAGGATCATGCTAATATGTACGGTTGCTTATTTATTAAGTCCCCTGTATTTAAAACAGGGAGTAAAAATGACCCCATTTTAAAATGTTCATAGAGATTATTTCATCATTCTTTTGGATTTCAGAAAGCTAGGGTTGGGAAGCCCTTCTCAATGACATTTATAGAGTTTTAATTTTAGATCTGTTTTTAAATTTTATTTTTCTTCTTTATTTTAGGAGTTTAATCTGATTGATAGGCGTGAGTTGGCACCTCTTCAGGAATTAATTGAGAAGCTTGGATCAAAAGACAGATAAATTTTTCTTCTGGAACAGTTACCCTCTTGCTTCACCTACTGCTAGAGCTATCTCGTTGCTTTCTGTTATAGACTAGTGATACAAACTTTAAGAAAACAAGATAAAAAGACACCTATTGTCTGTGTCTACTGATAAAACTGTCCCAAAGGTAGGTTGGCCTAATACCTTCAGAGTGAGAAATTCAGGACACAGCTGAATCTGAGGCACTGTGTGACCACTGCTGTTACTGCCATAGAGCCATACTTGGTTGTAGAATGTGAGGACTAACCTGTAGTTTATTAGTTTACTTACTCTTTTACTGAAGAAGATGATCGACTCTGTTTCAGGTGACAGCATGATGGATATTAAGAATTTCCAATAATTTATTAACAGGTTTCCAGAACAAATTTCCTAATAATGCAATCACAGATCAGTTTTATTCTGCTTTTATTTTACAAATAGAAGAGGTGTTCTAAAATTTCCTTAAGATTTAGAACATTTGTGTCACTTTGGATAACCTTGTAGTTTGAAGTTTGTATGCTAGTGTTTTTATAGGTAAGATTATATATATGTATATTTTTTCAAAATCCATGATTGCAGTTTAAATCATCATATGACATGTGGTATGGGAGTAACCAAAGTTATTTCTAAAAGGACTTTATTTTTTAATCTTTATTTGGGATTTTATTCACATAAACCTATCTAAATTTTTAGTGTGTGTGTATCAAATAATTTTTTTAAGGCATCTAAGGATCGTCTTGCAGATTTTTATTTTGAAATGCTTCATTCAGATTAATTTTAATATGTAGGTTTTGGCTGAGGAAAGAAAAACTTCCAAAAAATTATGACAAATTTGGGTCTCATAAACCATTATTTTCATTCATGTTTGTTTCAGAGGCCTTAAAATTTGGATAGGAGAATGGAAGAAAGTACTCAGAGTACTTGACTATTTTATTTTGAGTTTTCCTTTAAAAAGAAACTACTTTTATACGTTTTTATTGTGACTTGAGACTTAGTTAAGTGTAGTGTAGAAATGCACGAACCTTATCCCAATAAGGATAAAACGTAAGGAAAACCACAATAAAAAACCTTGAAGGTGTACACATTTTATAACCCAGCTAAAAATTTGATGTGCTGCCTGTTCTTTAATGTGTGCGTGTGTTGGGCGAGGGGGGGTAATATGTTTAAATGAGACAAAATGGGATAAGTTAAAAAAAAAAAAAAAAAGGAAACTTCATCTGTTAATAGTCAAAGGATGGATTGGGATTTTATTCTGTTTTGTTTCTGTATTAAAACTTGAAATTATTCTGTTTCTATTGGGATAAAAAGAATCTTTAGTGAAGAAAAGATCTAATTTTCTTTAGGTTTCTAAGATTTAGACTGTTTAAAATGTAATGAGGCACACATATTACTAAAGACTTGCCAGACTGGCAACACTTTAATTTCATCAATGTTCTTCGTTTCAGAGCTATGATTTTTTTTTGCAAAGTACTCACCATCTTCCATCTTGATACCTTTGGTTAAGGTTAAATTTGATAGGGTTTTATTTTTATTATTCCACTAGAATGTAAAGAAAAGAATTGCTTAGAAACTCCATTTTTGTAATAATCCAGTTTCAATAAATTCTTAAATATATGTAGAATTTTAAAGGAAACAAAACATTTTATCTGATTTAGGCTGAAACCGTACATCGTTGTTTTGGGAAATAAAAGAGTAGAAAAATCCCTTATGAAAAAAAAGAGAAAAGCCCTCTATGAAACATTCCATAATCCATGTTTTAAGAATATCCAAAGTCCCTGTCACGCATTCTGTATGTTTATGTTGATCATTTCCAAACAAGAAAGACGGTTTTTACATGCCACCTAGAATGTTACTGACTCTTGACTTTGAACATTGTTGGCTTTAAGTATGCAAGGAATGAAATATTTCTCACCTAGGATTGTACTTTCATCATTTCTAATATTTCACATATCATCAAACAAAAGGGTTCTCACTTTTCTCCATTTATTTTCAGTGGTAGAAATCCTCCCTCTCTTCATGACTCAGCCCTAAAACTAACTAAAGATGGCCACATTTAGGACAGTAGTAGACGCAGCTTAATAATGGGACATAAATTTTAAAATTTGTTGGTAATTTGGGAATTCAGGTAATTCAGAATGTCCTTTTTTTAAAAAAAAAATAAAAGCATTACTAGGTTCCCAAGCTAATCTGGCTTAACCAACAATGCATCTAAACATTGGTGTTAACATTATTTGTTTACATACAAGGCCAGGGAGTTGAGAACAGGAGAGTTGGAGGAAGGGGAGAGAATAGGGAGAGGATGACACCTTTCTGACTTGGCTGGAGGGCCAACCTTTGATTAAAGTTGGAAGAAATCAGTCTCTCTTTGACTCCTCTCAATCTTGATTTATCTCCCTGAGTAACACTCACTCCCCTGGCTCCTCCTAATCAGAAGTCATCTCTCAGTGTCTGATCACTGCCCTTCACACCTGACTAAAATCATGGGTTGGACAGTACTTGCTAAATTATGCAGTTAATCCTATGGTGCTTTAATTTCCAGGCCAGAAGTTATTTCTAAAGGCCTGGAAATTTTTTTTTAAAGGCCTGGAAATTAAAGCACCGTAGGATTAACTGCATAATTTAGCAAGTACTGTCCAACCCATGATTTTAGTGCAGGTTTTTGTTTAAATAGTGCAACTTCCTTGTACTACAGTTTTTGTATTGACAGCCAAATGTATCCTTTATTCTCCAAACTGTGAATAAAGTGATTTTTAGTGTGCTGCCAGCTAACAAAGTATTTCCTTTCATCTTAGACTTGTAGATCCCTAGCTCATGTAGCTGCTTGAGAAATGCACATCTGTATTCATCATTACATTGATAACAGCAAGAGGAAGGTTTTTCTAGTAATGCAAGAGGAACAATTCTGGTGGTGATTTTAATTTTTCAAATATTGTTGAGGTTTCTTGATTATACTCTTGGCCTTCTCTCTGAGCAGTGAGGTCACATTAGAAGTGGAGAAGCTTCTAAACATAACATCATCACCTTATAAGCATAAATAAATCATTACTGAAGAGTATAAGTCCTAGAAATTTGTTTCTAAGCAACTCCAGTCATGGTGCTGTTGTTACCCTTGCCTGGTTGTATGAGGCTGTCTCTCCTGTCTAGAATTCTGGCCTGAAAATACCAGCTGGTACACCAAACTAAGCAGCTTCAACAGGGACATTATTTCCTCCTAATATCAGTTCAGTAACTGGATTTGGTTTTTTACTATTGTACAATTCTGGCAAAGAGGGAAAATAAGTAGTTCCTCAGTGTTCCTTTGTTTTGCATTAGATTTTGATACTTCAGACTGTAAAGGGCTTTGGGGGATGCTATTGATATTACCTGTGATAGCAGTAATTTTACTGAAGCAACTGCATTGAAATTCACTTGGGTTTTCTCTCATTATCAGGTTCTTTTCCAAACAAGTATTCTGTAAATCCAAATGGATTACCAGTGTGCTATAGATTTATTATAGAACAACATTCTATGTTTGGTCTACATTTAAAATAGTTTAAGTTAGTCTTGGTTATCATCTAAAATATTTTTAAATGTTCTTTACATGAAAATTTATTTTGTATTTTTAAACCTTTAGGGGCTTTATCTATTTTTCTAAGTCAGTTAACTGTACTTTTAAAAAATATATTTTGTATCTACTTTTGTAACTTCATCAGAATAAAATATATTGAAAGAAAGGAAGGACTGATGAAAGTATGTCTCAACACACTTGTTTCTATTTAAATGTGAAACTTGAGATTTTTGCAGGTTCTGTGGAAGGTTACCTTTGCTTATCATTTAGTAGCGAAAATGTTTTCTTAACTCTTAGAAGAAAGGGAAGTTCCTAAATGAACTAAACATCTTGTAATAGCAGGCCCATCCCCAAGGAACAGACTGTGCCTCTGGATGCAGTGGCTAAAACCTATCCCAGACAAAAAATAAGTTGTCTCCTTCTTACCATGCTAACCAAGCTCTTGACCTTTTTTGTACATTCCTGGTTGTGAGATTGAGAAAAGGGAAGAGGAAAGACTAGACTTACTAATTTTCTGACCTTGAAATTTAGTATTCGGCTTATCCATAAGACACCCCTCCCCACATCAAACACATTTTTCATTATTATAGGAGAAATATTAGTTATTTTTAGAGGTTCAAATGACAGATACCTAATTTTAGGTCCATTCAAAATATCATTGCTAGAATTGTTTCGACCTTTTTTGAGTAGAGTTAATGAAAACTTAACGAATGTGGCTAAATAATATGGGTTAACACTCATTTTGTATAAAGGTATGGGTAAGCTAGTAATCAAAAATTGGACTTTCTTTTTTTTTTTGATGGTTATATTTCAGTAAACTTAAAATCTGTTGCAAAAGTGTTAAGTTTGTGAAGGTGTCTAATGGCTAAGTTTGAAAGCTATTTTAAACTTTATAAATGAGTGGAAGAACTCGAATAATATTTGGGAGAGCCAGAGTCTGGCTTTGAAGCTGCATAGCCAGAAACAGTGTCCAAACCATGCTTTGAGCCTTTTTTAGCAAATACCACAGTGCTGTTGAGGTAGTTTTGGACACTGTAGCCTGCATTGTTGTTGCTGACCACTAGATGTCAGTGAGCCTTACCTCCTCCCCAAAGCTAGATGCATCTGCCTTGACCAGAATAAAGGATTTTACCTAGCACCTCCTTCCTTTCGTGTCTCTTCCTAATCAAAAGCTTAAATGGGTGACTCTCATTGGCAGATCCTAGGTCACATAGCTCTCTTCTGGCTGCAAGAGGGGCTAGGAAAAAGTTTCTGGATTTTACTTGGGGTTCAGAGTTCATAGCAAATTGTTGAACAATCCTGGATGGTCCAAAAGCTTGGACAGGCTGCTGTTCTGTGAACTTTTTGCTCCTGTTCTGTGAAAAGATGAGGAGTTTTCACTATAATGTAAGTATACTTACATTATAGTGAAATGTGAGTATACTGTTTAGCTCAGCTGACATTTTTTTGTAGCAGATTTGCTAACTGAAGGAAGTAGATTATTGATTCAGATTCTGGCCAAACTCTTTGTCTTGTGGCTGACCAGCATTTTGAATATCACTTCCTTAGAGGAACCTACCTGTTTTAGGGGAGACTTTTAGCAGGTTTATCTCATTTAATCCTTACAGCAATCTGTTGAAGGGGTGACAGTTGAGAGGTATGTTAGGAATTTTTCAGTGTTTTTTAGACTATGTCACAAAAGCTCAGACTTCGAATACATAGTGAGGTGGGTCTCCTTCACTGGCTTGCATTTGTAAAAGTTCTGTGTACTCAAGAGTGCTAGGAGACTCTAAAATAAAATGACTGCAATTTAAAAATCATCCCAATGAGGTAAAAAAATATATATATATATCCAAATAGATCCTACTTAAGGAATTTTCTGCAGTTAGCTCAGATATAAGTATGAAAGCTGGGAGTGATCATGGACTGATACAAGTGAAGAGGAGAGAGTCTCAAGTTCAGGGCAAAAAGAGTAAATGCAGAAGGGATAGACCCATTCTTAGAGACTAAAGGCATTATGCTTCTAATCATAAAGTAAAACTGGCCTTTTTTTAAAAAAATAAATTTATTTATTTATTCTTGGCTGCATTGGGTCTTCGTTGCTGCATGCGGGCTTTAGTTGTGGTGAGCAGGGGCTACTCTTCGTTGCAGTGTGTGGGCTTCTAATTGCAGTGGCTTCTCTTGTGGCGGAGCGCGGGCTCTAGGCGTGTGGGTTTCAGTAGTTATGGCACATGGGCTCAGTAGTTGTGGCGCACGGGCTTAGTTGCTCTGCGGCATGTGGGATCTTCCCGTACCAGGGCTCAAACCCGTGTCCCCTGCATTGGCCGCTGCACCACCAGGGAAGTCCCTCACTCTATTTTTTATGCTGCCAATCCTCTTCTTTTGCATTTTTCATCCAAGTCCTAAAACTGGCCTTTGATTTGCTTCTATTATAAAAAATTATGTGAAGTTATGTTGGAACTAATTTGGAAGCCCAAGATCGTGAGATTGTTCTGAAAATCCTTTTCTAAAAAGGTTCAGATTCATACTGTGGAGCTAGAATTGTTAAACCACTGTCAGTCAGTGCATACCCTTTTTGTCCCATGCCATGCTGGGCCTTTGACATAGGTTACTAAAGCAAGATCCTGTCATGGAGTTTATGGACCAGTGCGAAAAACAGACATATACATAAATTGATAGT